ACAAACAATATACAAAACAAAAGATTAATAGGACAGTGATAGAGGAAGGGAGAAATTTTAGGTAGAGCAGCTAAGGAATGCATCAGTAAGAAGGTGGTATTTGAGCAAGGGACTGGAAGAGGATAAGCTATGAAGAGATTTAGAGTAAGACTGCTTCAGGCAGAAGGAATAGCCAGCTCTGAGTAAGATGGCTCAATATGTGCTCATATAGACAGACGCTATTCTTAAGAAAGCAAGCTGAAGAACAGGATACAGAGTATAATCCACTCATGCACATGAGTTTCTTTGGTCTCCTCTGGTGGATAAGATTTCTCTTACCACTTTATTAATTTTCTTAAAAGCAATTAATTCAAAAGTTAAGCAAGAATTCTATAATATGAATGTAATAAGGATTTTCATCTCATTTCTTGCAGTCTTGAAATTTAATCAGCAAAGCATGATCACAGGTGAAACTTTCTTCAGTCTAGAAACCCTAATCCCAGCAAACACTTTCAACACAGGTGACAAGTTCATTTTCAGAACAGAGGATTTGTGTTATAGCAGCCTCCCACAGCAAATAGGAACTGCCTGAATACTCCAAGTACCTTCTTTGTAGCCTAGCTGATGACCATAAAAAGCTGCGAAAGAATCCACTGCCTGTTTTATTGTCTGTGCTCATCATGAAAATATGTACTGATTTAATATGCTGAAGATCTTTCTTCTATACTGGGGTCTACAAAAGGCAAAGCATTCCTTCAGCAGGGAAACTACTGAGAAGGGAACTATGTCTGAGATCATTAAGATGCCTAAACTGCTCCAGGAGAAATGACAGACATGCCTTTTAAATGTTGAAACAAAGTATCCACAAAAGGTCTAGAAAAACTATTCTCAATAGTGGGGGTAGAAGAGTGGTGAGGTCCATGCCTACTCTCTCCACTCTCTCCTTCGCTGTAGTAACTGGCACAGTGAGCCACTGTCACTGATAGGAATATACCAAGTAAAATATGATAAGAAAACAAGCTGAGAATCGCTGAGTTAAAACTTCTTTGCAATTCCTGCTTGTCAGTTCACAGAATCAGAATCAGAGTCTTGAAAGCAGATGCCAGAAAAATGAAGTTAGCTCTATTTATTGCTTTAGCCCAAGCCAAACCATGGAAGCCTCAAATTAACCCTCAAATTCAACAAATCAAGTATAAACTTCCAAACCCTCTGCCCATAAATCTCCCTGAGGCCTCGCTCATCCTAGTAAATGAGCTGTAATCCCCTCATACGGAAGATTTTTTTAAAAAAGTAATTTCTTAAGCATCCAAGTCATCCATGTACTTTGTGTATGTGTTGCTGGGGATCAAACCCAGGACCTTATACAAAGTAAACAACCACAACCGCTCTACCAGTGAGCTACTATATCCCAGCCACACAAGTACTCTTCCTCTTCCCCCTTCCTTCCCTCCTTCCCTCCCTCCCTCCCTTCCTTCCTTCCTTCCTTCCTTCCTTCCTTCTTTTTCCCCCTCCCTCCTTTTCTCCCTCCCTCCTTTCTTTCTTTCTCTTTCTTTCTTTCTTTCTTTCTTCCTTCCTTCCTTCCTTCCTTCCTCCTCTTCCTCTTCTCTTCTTCATCTTCCTCCTCCTCTCCTTTTTTTTTTTTTTGTGCTCATACTTGCCTTGAACTCAGAGCCTTTGTGCTTTTGCTCAACTTTTTGCTCAATCAGTGCTGGCACTCTACCACTTCCTGCCTTTTTCTGGTTGATTAGATAAGAGTCTTGGGATTTTCTACTCAAGCTAGCTTTGAATTCCAGTCTTCAGGTTTCAGCTCTGAGTAGTTAGGATTTAGATAGGAGCCACCAGGACCCAGCTCACACCTGTAGTTTTTTATTTTATTTTTTTGAAAAATTCAAAGATTTTTAAATTATATTTTTATTATCTTTAAGTAGTTGTACAAAGGGATTACCATTCAAACACATGTTTTTTTTTGGGGGGGGGGTCTGGTTGTGGGGCCTGAACTCTGGGCTTGGGTGCTGTCCCTCAGCTCTTCACCTCAAGGCTAGCCCTCTACCACTTGGGCCACAGCGCCACTTCCGGCTTTTTTTTTCTGCTTATGTGGTGCTGAGGAATTGAACCCAGGGCCTCATGCATGCAAGGCAAGTGCTCTACCACTGAGCCACCTTCCCAGCCCTGCCTGTACTCTTAATGTTATTTTGTTCTTGCTTGCTTATGATGGCTGGTGCTCTGCTACTTGAGCCACCTCCAGCCTGTCCTTTTGCTAGCTAATTGGCGATCACTATGTATCTAAAACCTAGTGCAGTGCCTAGTAGATTGTAGATACACTCAATACATGTTTGTTGAATGAATACAATCCTTGCTCTGAAGGTATTCTCTATATAAGGCAGTAGGACTCAGAAGATCCTTCATAAAATACCTGATAGAAAAAGCCTATGAAGGGGCTGGGAATGTGTCTTAGCAGTAGAGTGCCTGCCTTGTGTGTATGAAGCCTTGGGTCCATTCTTCAGTACCACATAAGCAAAAAAAGCCAGACGTGGCACTGTGGCTCAAGTGGTAGAGTTCTAGCCTTGAGCAAAAGAAGCTCAGGGACAGTACCCAGGCCCTGAGTTTAAGCCCCAGGACTGGCAAAGAAAAGAAAAAAAAGCCTATGAATTTACTGAACTTTTTCAACTAGTGAGTGATTCTCTAGAGAAACTGTGGTCTTAGGTTTTATTTTGAGAAAACAATCTAAAAGATAGCTGGAATATACAAGAATACTACTATTTCATCTAGCAGTAGAGTAGGTATATAAAGAGGTCAACAGCCAAAGAAACTTTGTAGGAAAATAAATTTTGTGCCTAAGAATAAAAAACTCAAAACAGTAAAGGGAAACAAAAATATAAATTTTTATTCTAGAAAAACATCAACACTGGGCTGGGTGCTGGTGGTTCACACTTATAATCCTACCTACTTAGAAGGCTGAGATCTGAGGATCGAGGATTTGGGCAGCCAAATCCAAGAGACTCATCTCCAATTAAGCAGCAAAAAGCCAGAAGTGGGGTGGCTCAATTAGGAGAATGCCAGCCTTGAATAGAAAAAAGCAAGAGCACAACAATAAGGCCCTGAGTTCAAGCCTCCTGCCTCAAGATGCATTTGACAATAGAAAGCACCACATACACACACATGCAATCAACACTGAGACCACAATGCAAGGCATTATGGTTTTAATATATCACCAGAACTTTGAGTAAACAGGCAATAATTATAAAGCTAAAAACAAAAAGGAACTAGCATTTATCTTTTTCCACTCTAAATTTATAACAGGTGAAAGACTTTACTCTTCCATAGTTTTCCTTAAAGAATTCTTAACTGGAGTGATTTTGTACCTCAGCATTAGCTAACATCTGGAGACATTTTTGGTTGTCAGAGCTGGGAAGGGGGTAAAAATCCAGGATGCTACTGTAAACATCCTACAACATACAGGATAGCTCCAGAATAAAACAATTCTTCACTGCCAAAGTTAGAAATCTTCCTTAAGAGGAAATGTGATAAAAAAAACTTAATGTGATTAACTGATACACATATTTCTGTCTGGGAGGACAAATACAGAACTAGTAAGAGTGATGTCTCTGGGGAAGGGAACTGAGGATTGGAAGAAAAGATTTCAGAGAAAGGAAATTTACTTTTTCTTTTTTTGGTGCCAGTCCTGGGGCTTGAACTAGAGGCCTGGGCCTGGGCACTGTTCTTGGGCCTTTTTGCTCAAGAGTACAGCTCTATTTCTTGAACCACAGCTTCACTTATAGCTTTTTTGGTAGTCAACTGGAGATAAGAGTCTCAGGGACTTTCCTCCTGGGCTGGCTTTGAACCTCAATCTTCAGAACTCAATCTCCTGGGTAGTTATAATTACAGGTGTGAACACCAGCACCTGTAATTTTTTAACCTTCTATACTTTTTGGTGCTTTCTGAATTCCGCAATGCATGTATATATTGCCCATTCAAAAACACAAGGGGTCAGGGATATAGCTTAGTGTAGAATGCAGGGCATTAGGCTCCATATTCAGAATCAACAAATTAATCTAACTAAAAAATAATGTGGCTTATGTTTATAATCTCAAAAGACTAATTTCAACTCACAGAACATTATGAAATGGAAAGCCAAATATCCTGTTGTCAAATGCATCTTGAAGCAGGAGTTACAAAACCTGGGTTTTGTCACTCCAAATTGGAACATGATCAACTCTGAGCTTGCTCCCTCCTATGAAGAATGTTAGGATAGCATGCCCTACTCAGTACACACAGACCTGTGAGGATCAATGAAATCATTCAGCTTAAATAACTCACGAATTACTAAGAGCCATGCAAACAGATGCAATTACTTTTTATACATCTTGGAATTAAAGAACAAGACTAGAAATGACAAATAAGATCTTTAGCATTATTCCTTTGCTAAATCATGCATCATTCTTTGTCATTGGGGCTTTAGGAATTGTTCTGTTAGTAGTACTGAGATCTTCTAGTTTTGCTGCCTACTCTATGATGATGAACAACTCAAGAGGAAGATCTTCCTATGAGCCATACAAATTGTAAGCAGTCCTTAATTATTTTCATTATTATGGTAAAGATTAAGAAGAAAAAAATTCTTATATTACTCTATTTTGTACAAAATAAACAGAGATAAGGAATTTGGTATTTGGGATATTTCTACTATAATGCCTGAATAGACAAAGCACAGTAAAAGCACTCAATATATAACAAGTCCATAACTACCAATTCTTTTGCCTGACAGCTGGTACAGGCATAGGCCAAAGAGCTAAGTCTCTTACTCATGAAACTATGACTCATGAAAACAACTCCTTCAGTACTCATGTCTTTGAATGACAAGGACAATCAATATGTAGGAACTGTTAGAAAAACAAATGATTAATACCGAATATGTTGTAAAGGTCTCTACTTTTAGCAATTATGAGAAGAATAAGTGAGCACAAGGGCAGAATAAGTGAGACATCAGCCACCAGAAAAGAAAAAGGAAACTGTAGGTGTCTTACGTGATATACTTGTTATACAGGATAAAGGCATGTTCAATGTTGCCTTCCTCAGAGTAAATGGATGCCATTCGAATAATCTCAACTCCAGAGCGGAAGTATCGACGGGGTGGAATGTCTTCATTCACTTCCACAGCACTCCCCAATAATGAGAGGGCCCTCACCCGGTCTTCGGGTGGGAGGCTCATGTCTCCATGGTCAGACATCAGGATAAAGAGGTTCTGAGACAGAAACAAGAAAAGAATCAAAACCATGGGTCCCATCATCCCTGCAGTCTAGCACAGAGTGTGTTTATCTCATAAACCTCTTCCTTAAGAAGAAAGTACAAGAAAAAATATATCATATGCTGTGAGCCAGATAAAATAGTCTCTTTCTTATAAAAAGGTTTAGACCCTCTGAATAATTTTGAGATACACAACAACCATATATGAAAACAGCATAAAGAACCTACATGAAAGCTGTATTAGGGGTTGGGGGAGGGCAAGGGGAGACAGACTGGTTCTGTTGGGAGGAGGGTACTAGCAAGAAATGGTTAAGGATAAAAGAGGATGAATATAGTTAAAAACATTGTTGACATCCATGAAAACAGTGAGATCTGTTGAAATTTTATTAGGAAGGGGTGAGGGCATAAGCGATAATGATATAGGGAAGAGAGACTGGCTAGAGTTTATTGTATGCATGAGTGGAAATGCCTCTATGTAATAGCCCCTTGAATAACTAACATTTGCTAATTTTTAAAAAAGGCCAAAATCCTCAAGGTAGCCTAAATAATTTTGAGAAGACTGGCAGACTGGAAAACCCAGTCTTGTGCCATAATTAGGTAGTATCAGAATATAATTACAATAGGCCACGGTGGGTTCGGTTCTGCCCCTCAATTCTGCAATCCTCTATTATTAGGAGAACTTGCCTAGAGCACTATGAGTATAAGGATAGTATCTTCTATTTTTCTAATAATTTCTTCTTTCAACTACCTACTACTTCCACTTACTCCAGTACTTGGAAGAGTGCAGTCAGTGGAGTTTCATGAGGATTCAGTGATTTCAAGTTTGATCATTTTTATTCAGCTGAGAGTAACTGACATTTTGGGTGTGGGGGGGTATACATTTTCATATTTGAATACAAAGTTAACCAGGGTAGCAGTTCTGGGAATGAATGTTCACAATCAGAGCTCTGCCCATCAAACCACTATTCCACACAGTATGCAATATTATTCACTATTATCAGAACAAGATATTTCAATCTCGAAGACAAAAGCTCATCTACCAAAAAACTAAGCACTTCTGAATAATACAAGGACACAAAGGTACCTTAAAACTGGAGAGGGTGACACCTTACTCTGGGTGTTTTCTTTCCCTGAGCTCCAAACTCCAGTAATCCCACAATCGTTCTAGATACCGCTGCTGTTAGAACCAGATCTCAAATGCCAGTAAGTTACCACCATTCTCCGTAATTTCCAAAGGAATCTGGGTTTTTTATACACTGAATTAAAGTCCTCTATAACCAACGTGCTCTAGGATGTACAGACTATAGAATTCACAGCCCCATGGAAACTGCTCTCATGTCTTTTCTATACTTTACTCTTCTCCAATAGGCGAGCTTTTGCTCGTCAGGATTCCTGACCAGGAATCCTCACGTCAGTCTCCCTTGTTTAACCACTACTTTTCCGCCTTCTAATCTAATCATTCCCTCAGACAGATAGGTTTCCATATTAGGGCCACATTTCCTGCACGAAGCTTCCCATGAAAACATCCTCATTAACAGCAAAGGCTGGGAATGCTAAGGATGCAGAGGCACTACATCTCTCCCAGCGCAGTCTACTAGAGTTAACTGAGACAGATGCTCCCCGGCATTTCTCCCTTTAGGAAGAAGAGCCTGTGGGTCGAGAAGGGAACCCCTTTCCCACGGGTATAGAGCAACACGCCAGGGAGGAAATGCAGCACCCACAAACAACAGGAGAGGGTGGCGAGGAAGGCTGGCCTGGAGAAAGGACGAGCGGAGGTGGAGCACGTCCTGCTGAGCGAGGTCTACCGACAAGTGCTTGAGGTGCCCTTCCTGAAGCGACCCAAGCCCCAACTGCCTATCCCGGACAGAATCCTCGGAGGTTTTCAGGAAGTGCTGGGCCTGGCAGGTGGAGGGGGGCGGGCGGGGGAAGCCCGGCAGGCGGGAGGGACCCGAGCCTTCGGGTGCCCGGCGCGCAGCGGACCTGGAAGAGGCTCGTGGGGGAGGAGAAGGCTGCAGGCCCCACTCACTGCGGCTCAGTCTCACTCACTCACTGGCTCGGTCTCATCACACTCACAGCCCCTGTCCCACCACCTTCCCGGGACCCCCTTCCCACCTTTCCTGAAGGATGACACTCGCGGCTTCCGGAAACGTCACTTCCGGTGCCACGCCACTCCCACCAGGCTGTCAATTATACTCCTTAGGATTTAGGACCCGGGCGGGGGGGAGGAGGGGGCGGGGGGAAGAGATGAGGAACTGGTGGGTGGGGCTATAATCGTGGCCTGCGGAAAATTCGGCCAATGGAGAGCGGGTTCTGAAGCGGCCTCCTTGGTAAAGGAAAAATAAACCCGGAAGAGAGCCGGACAGAATTACTAAAGGAACCGGGGAACAAACTATAATGGAGGTAGGAGTTTCCTGACAGTTCAAACTCCTGCTTCCATCACATAAGAACGTCGTATTCCAAGAGGGCGTGCAGATCCAAGCGCAGCTGCAGACAACTAAACCAACTGGAGAGAAGAAGACTCGACATGTTCAGTTTGCGTGTGTCACTTTCTACAAAAACTAGCAGTCTGAGATACTATGCAATAGGTTCATTGCTTATAAACAAACAGACTAACTCTTTAAAATCAAAGCACCTATATACCCTGTATTGAGAATAAGTTTAATCTTTTAAGGATTAGTAGACAAAAGCAATGGACACACACACGCACACGCACGCACGCACAACTTGTGTGACACAGTTCCTGTCCCTGAGTCTAACCAATGTGGTTATATACTCGAAATGCAAAGGGGAACTTTCTGCATGTCGGTGTGTGTGAGTTTGAGTAATTTTTTCCCCCAGTAAGATTTGACTTGTCTTTGTGTTGCTGAAGTTGGAAATCAGGGTCAGACACATGCTTGCACTCTACCACTGAGGTACATCTACAGCCCCATAAGGTTCTGCAATGCTTCAACTCATTCTGTCTTAGGAGAATTTTGTCACTACTCTGAAACTTTTTTTTTTGCCTGTTGTGGGGCCTGAACTCTGGGCCTCGAGCTCTTCAAGGCTAGTGCTCTACCACTTGAGCCACAGCATCGCTTCTGGCTTTTTCGGCTTATGTGGTGCTGAGGAATTGAACCCAGGCGCTCATGCATGCAAGGCAAGCACTATACCATTGAGCCACCTTCCCAGCCCCTACTTTGAAACTTTTACGTTGGAATTATTAGCTGAAATCCTTTGAAAATACTTCAAATTGAGGTTACTGTAAAAAAAAAAAAAAATCAGTAACATTGCCACAAATCTGTGGTTTGGGGCGCCACCTGTAGTTTGTTCAAAGACTTGTCACCGGGAAAAATAGCCAGGAAGAAGTTTTTATGCATGCCTGGAAAGCTCTTTATTATGTACACATAATTGAAATTAATAATTAAACTGTAAATGGTAGCACATGCTTATAATTCCAGCGCTTGAGAGTTAAGGCAAGAGAGGATCATGAATTCAAAGGTAATCAAAGCTACATAGATTCTGTCTCAATTTTTAAAAATCATTCTAAAATTGCTTTAATGTATACATGAGGAATCTTGTTTTCTTTTATTATCCGCTAATTAACTGTGAGGTACATAATTTATTTTCTAATAATTAAAAATCCTTGTCTTAGGTAGGCAAGCCATTCTCTAAGTCACAAATTTTAAAAAGTGTTAAATGACATAAGAACCTGTAGGATTCTCTGAATGATACATTTAAAAATATTTGGTTTATGTACACCTTTTCAAAAATACTGACTTATGACTAGACAATTTAAAGGGGGCATTAAAACTTGTACATCATCATATTTATACAGTTGGAAAAAAAAGTTGTCAGCTATTCAACAAATTTTTATTAATGACCTATTAGGTGCCAGACACTGTTTAAATTCCTGGCCACATACCAAGAAACAAAGTAGGCAAGAAAATTCCCTGCCCTCCTCTAGTCCCACCAAAAAAGAGGATATCTACAGTGAAGGATCTTACATTCTAGTGATGGAGAAGAAATTAGCATGATAAAGTGAATTTGCATGATTTTATCATAAGGTTCAAAGTACTACAGGGAAAATGAACCCTGGTGAAGAGAATCAAACTGAGAAAAAGGAGAAGCACAGAGAAAACAAGTGAGAAGAGCATTCCAGGCTGTGAGAACAGCAATACACAGTGTAGGGCAACAGTCAGTGAACCAGTAGTCCGTTTTTATAAATAAGGTTTTATTGAAACACAGTCATACACATTTATTTGCCTATTTTCTGTGACTACTTCCATACTTCAACCACAGAGTATAATCATTAAGAAAGAGACAATATGGACCCAGAAGGATAGAGTGTTATGAATTCATGTGTGAGTTTCTGTTAGTAAGTTGCTCATAGTTTCAACGTGAGGTCCATTCCTTTGAATGATGCTGTATCTTTTTGAAACTTTGTTTTTAGCAGTAGCTGTGATAAAATGGAGGAAATGAAAATCAGTGTGAAACAGGAAATACATCTATCAGAGTGCAATTTGATTCCAAAGTTTAAGAAAAAACAATGGGCATATATATCCCATTATGAGTAAAGTAGAATTTTTTTTTAAATTTAAATGTATTATTTTTAAAATGGCTACTGATTACAGCATTGCATCAATATCCTGTGGCTGCTCTACCAATTTTCCAGAAGCTTGCTAGTCAGGAGCTGGTGGCTCATGCCTGTTACTATCATAGCTACTAGGGAGGCCAAGAGAAAAGGTATCACAGTTTGGAACCAGCCTAGGTAGAAAAGTTCAAGAGATCCTGCCTTGGAAATAGTCAGCAAAAACCAGGACTGGGCTGGGTGCCAGTGGCTCACACCTGTAATCCTAGCTACTCAGGAGGCTGAGGTCTGAGGATTGCAGTTCAAAGCCAGCCCAGGCAGGAAAGACTGTGAGACGCCTATTTCCAATAAACCACCAGAAAACTGGAAGTGGTGCTGTAGCTCCAGTGGTAGAGCGCTCACCTTGAGCTGAAGAGCTGAAGGACAGCACCCAGGCCCAGAGTTCAAGCCCCACAACCGACAAACAACAACAATAAAAACAAAAACCAGGGCTGGCAGTGTGATGTACCAGCCAAGGGAGCATGAGGCCCAGAATTCAAACCCCAGTAGACTCCACCCCTCTCCCCCCAAAAGGATATACACATAGGGATCATACTGCCAACTAGGATAATTTTTCTCAAGATCTTTAATTCAGTAAAGTCTGCAAAAATCCCCTTTTCCAAATAAGATATGGTTTATGGCTTCCAGGTATTGGGACCTGGTTTCTTTGGAAGGTCATTATCCAGCCTGCTACAAGCATAAGTCCATAGAAAATTGTTAAAACCTAACTCCTTAATGAATGTGAATGTTACTTATTTCTTTTGACCCAGGAGTAAAAGATCACAGGCTCAGTGAACCTATTAAGTTTGGAAACTATTAGGTTGGAAGGCTATTGGAATAATTCAAGTAGGGTGAGGGTTTATACTAGAACAGATATGGAGGAAAGGATTAGAAAGTGGACAGAAAGAGGACAGGTGATATCTTGTGTATTCAATTGGAGGGAAAGGTGAAAGTCCAATAACTTCAAAAGTTTCTGGCCTGAGCAACTGGAAATACAGAATGACTATTTACTGAAATAAAAAAAACTGCATATATAGGATGTTTCTGGAGGAAGCAGAGGACAAAGTGGAGTTTCAGCTTTGTTTAGAAAGATAAGAAAGAAAAGGAAAAGGAACACATTTAGGAGTAGGGCTCTCTTTCATATTCTCAATTGGCCCAGAAAGCTTATTATTTCCCAGAGTGGCTAGAGGCTCCCTTCTGTACCCCACCTATGATCCATAAGGTTATTGAGTTTTGACTTATCATTCAAAAAACCAGTTGAGCAAGTACATATACAAGATGTCACGTTAGTCAGAGGGGGCTCAAAAAGCCTTGTCAGTACTTTTTCCGTGTGTGTGTGTGCGCGCGCGCGTGCATGCGTGCGCGCGCGCGTGTGTGTGTGTGTGTGTGTGTGTGTGTGTGTGTGTTTGGTACTGGGGATTTCCAGGGCTTTTGAGCATGCTAGGCAAGTGCTCTACCAATTGAGCGAAATCAATAGCCATTTTCTTTATATTTTGTTTTTGAGAAAGGTTCTTACTACCTTGACCTAGTCTGGTCTGAAACTCCATAATCTTCCTGTCTCTGCCTGTTGGGGAGCTGGAATTATGGAAAGGAACTCCACCAGCTTCATGATCCTAACTAGCTTAGGAAAAATGGAACTCTGCTTCAAGGGGCTGAGAACAGTAAAACTCAAGTTTAAAATAATAGTAGGATTTAAGTAATGGTAGAATAAAAAGGATTTCTGAAAAATAGGTGACTCATTCACTGTTGTAAAAATAGATCAAATGAAAACTCATGAGGAACATTTACCAAATGGTAGAGAACAGTTAAAGCCATTGCAAGAGTATGGGACAAACCACTGCAAGTAAGCACCATACACTACTGGCATCAGCATTTGCACCAAAGCAAATGGCAGATAGGAGGCCTTCAAATTGTCATTACATGTCTGCTGGAAGCATTGTGGGCCAGTTTGAAAAGAGCAGATAGAATTGTGGGTGATTTGCTGGGTCCCAAAGTGAGCTTAGTTAATTATCTATGAGTTCCACATGTGTAGCTTCAACTAACCTCTGATTTAAAAAATATTCAGAAAAGCAGGGATCCTGTAGCTTGTAATTCTAGCTATTCAGGAGGCTAAAATCCGGAGAATCACTGTTCAAAGCCAGTGCAGGCAAAAAAGTCAGAGGCTATGTCTCTAATTAACCCAGCAAAAAGCCAAGGTAGAGGTGTAGCTCAGGAGATAGAGGGGCAGCTGAACAAGCAAGTTGAGTTCCTGAGCTGAAGTCCCAGTTTCTCTCTCTCTCTCTCTCTCCCTCTCTCTCCCTCCCTGCCCCCCCCCCCACAAATGTGTGTAATCATAACTAAGCACTGGTAGCTCACACCAGTAATCCTAGCTACTCAGGAGGCTAAGATCCAGAGACACTCAGTTCAAAGCCAGCCTGTGTAGAAAAAAATCTATGAGATATGGCTCAAGTGGTACAGTGCCAGCCTTGACCAAAAAATGCTAAGTGAGATTGCAAGTCAC